TTACAGTCATTCCTTAAATATATAAAAAAAAACTCACAATGTTCACCTCAATATGTTCTTTTTGTGTAATGTTATTGCATTCTGAGGCGTACAAGAAGCTTTAAAACGCCCGTAGTTTACATTTGATGCCGGAAACATACATATGAGGCCCCCATGGGATGACCAAGTAATCACATAATCACATTTTTTGTTGCCAATATAATCACATAACCATTAATTTTTTAAACAAGATAATCAAATAATAAACAAAACAGTCCTAGATTATCAAATAATAAAAAAAATCATAAAATATTAGGTCTGGTAATCAAATAATCACTTTAAAAACGGCAAAGTAATCACATAATCAAAAACCCCATGAGGAGGCTCACATTTGACGTCGCCTTGTTTAGTTGCCAAAGACGATAACATCATTTCGCGGAATTTTCGTTTTATGAAATTTTACACCGAAAAATTAATTGAAAGGGACTGATTTGTTTATTTTGCTTTAGAATATAGATAACTGTATTGTATCTGAGTCTTGGCCTACGTAAACCGTGGGTTTTGCTATCGCAAATTGAGTATAAATAATTTGGGCGTAACGCGGAACAGCCAGTTTCGTGTATTTATGCGCTTGCGCTAAAAATAGATCATATACTGTTATACTGGCTGACGATGTATAGGTCGTCATATTAGAACACATTGTATACTTGATGTGTCCGAAGCGTTTTTCTGGATTTACTTTCATCGGGAGGAAAAATTGATATTTCAATTACTTTCTCAAACCTTTATTGATCACATCTTATTTTTTAACTTATGTTAAATTTCACTGTCATGACTGTTTTTATCATTTTATTGATTTTATGAAGCCAATTTCGGGACGATGCTAACAATGTAAAATTGTAGATTTTCTATGTTACTATTTAATGAAATCGATATGTATTTTGTGCTGAATACTTAAATGTCACAGATGTCCGATCCCTAACGAAGAGTTACAGTGAAGTTAACCGTTTCTAGGGGAAGTAGGAATAAGTATACTAAATAAAATCCCAAGATCTGTAATGAATACATTCAATCTAATTTCATTTCCTCGTGCAATAGTTATAAAAATGACTGATCTACCCTTTGCACTAGTTTTCATTCAAAGCTTGACTTGAAGAATTATGAAAGAATTAGTCCAAATATGTTTCATTAAGAATAATCACTGAGAAATTTATATATTGTTTTTATGGGACAAATAATACTTTGAAAATCACTCTTGATACAAACAAAGAAGTCCTGGAACTAAAATCATCAAGATGCTTGATACTTTGAAACGTTCTTTTTTTTCGACAAACAAGCGGCATTCCTTTGTGATCCAATTGTGATCCTCTTCTTGCCGATTTGGTTCTTATGCAACCCTTATTACAAAAGCTTCTTACGATGAATGAAACGAAGCTTCATTATCCTTTAAATATATAAATAAACCCCTATCATTGAATAATTCAAAGTTAGGCGATTAATTTGACCGCACTTAAAATAAAGGATACCACAAATTAAGTTTTCTTCATATTTTCACTTACAATGAAGCTAGGTTGAGAACTAAACTTTATGACGATTTATGATGATTTCGATATTTCAGTTATGAACTTTCTTTTCCCCCATTTTTCTGTAGCAAAATAACTCACCAAAGATACCAGGCTTGTCATTTTGTACGTCAAACGCGCGTTTCGTCTTTAAAAGACTTATCAGTGACGCTAAAATAAACAAATAAAAAAGGCCAAATAAAATTCGAAAATTAAGAGCATTGAGGACCCACAATTCCGAAAGTATTCCAAACAATACAAAGGTAGGCAACATTCCACCACCATTTCTGAATTTATAGTTTATATCTCCCAGTTTATGCGATAATACAGGGCTTTCCTTTAATATTGCGATTTTGTGAATTTGATGGAGCATTGCTGCTTAAATGAAAGCCATTGAATCAAGGATTCCAAATTGTAAAGTTCATGTCATCCTATCGAGTTTTACGAACACCATCATGATTTGGTCGACCGTTATCGAATATCTGTCACAGATGACCACAGATATATTCCACTTGTAACCAAAATTCCGTCCTCTATTCTTCGATTGTGAGTTCAATGAATACGACGTTTCGCATTTGTTTACTTACCATCTGCAACATTGTTTCCACTACAGGCGCAGTAGCTGCTTACCCTTCTGGGGTTCGTGCTGCTCAATGCTTAGTTTTCGTGTTTACTTGTATGTTTTGTGTGCTTGTCTTTATAACAGTTACATAGCCCTTTTTGGGGAAGGGGGAGTGGGGTCTCCATTCATAAGCTATCAACGAACAATATTTTAAGAAAATCTGAGACTACGCGCTGCGACTTGGTTGGTAGTTGCAGAGAATTGCTATTAAATTCTATAAATGATTCAGAAACTATTTGCTTTCAACGAATCTTTGTAAATATTGCCTTCTAGCATCATCATTTCTCATACAATTGGCTAATATATTTAGATTGTTGCTATCTTTGTTTGAAAATTTATCGGCTATTGGAATCAATGTAAGCGTATGATATGAATGCGAACGACACATCTTACTGGAATTAATTTTTATTAGATCCGTTCGAAATAAAATCAAACTTTTGGATAAAAAGTACATTAGCGACTGAGTATCAAAACCTAAGTGGCCTTATCAGTAGTCCACCAAAAACAGTTTATCTTGTCAATTTCCCCTTTAAGGAGATGCAATCTTAATACAAAAGGCTCCTAAGAGCCTGAATCGCTCACCTGGTAAAACATATGCCACTTTGATATTATTTTTTTCTTTATTACAATTAATTTATTACCTATCTGTAGATCTTATTAAATCTGTGTAGGTCTTGTACTGATGATCATATTTAACTGTTTACAAGTGTATGCCTATCTATAAGTTTTTAAAATAAAAAAAATAATTTAATGGCAATTAATCGTATAACTAGTGTAAAATATGGCCATGTTGACTTTCTTCTCTTATTTTGCTGATCTTTTTCGCTATTTTAACGTTTCTGTATAACTCCAGACATCATTCAGAGGAAATATCATCCAGAGGAAATATCATCCAGAGGAAATATCATTCAGAGGAAATATCATCAAGAGGAAAAATCAATCAGAGGAAATATCATCCAGAGGAAATATCATCCAGAGGAAATATCATTCAGAGGATATATCATTCAGAGGAAATATCATCCAGAGGAAAAATCATCCAGAGGAAATATCATTCAGAGGAAATAGCATCCAGAGGAAATATCATTCAGAGGAAAAGAGGAAATATCATCCAGAGGAAATATCATTCAGAGGAAATATCATCCAGAGGAAATATCATTCAGAGGAAATATCATCCAGAGGAAACATTCAGAGGAAAAGAGGAAATATCATTCAGAGGAAATATCATCCAGAGGAAATAACTTCTATAAGGTTGACAATTTCGCACACAAAATGACTGATTTGTAAATCATATTGTGATGAACATTATTGCTTCATACTGTTGCTCTTTCTATCTTTGGTTCAGCAAAAAATCTATTAAATTGGTAAAATATTCATTCAGGAGCAATAACTCCTAAAAGGAGTCAGTCGACAATTTTCGACAATTTTCGTTCATGTTGACTTATTTGTAGATCTGATTGTGACTAACATCTTTGCGAGTTACAATTCCTCTGTATAAAAAAAAAGTAAAGTAACAAAAATACCGAACTCCAAGATATATTCAAAACGGAAAGCCTGATAAAACGACAAAATCAAAAGCTCAAACACATCAAACGAACGGAAAACTGCTGTCATATTGCCGACTTTGTACAGGCATTTCCTTATGTAGATAATTGTGGGTTAAACCTGGTTTTATAGCTAGCCAAACCTCTCACTTGTATGACAGTCGCATAGAATTCCATCATATTGACAACAATGTGTGAACAAAACAAACATATATAATAGTTTCTGCAAAAATGGGAAAAAAATGGATAACAACCATCTTTCAAGGGCAATAACTCCTATAAGCGGTCAATTGACAATTTCGGTAAAGTTGACTTATTTGTAGATCTTATTTTGCTAAACACTTTTGCATCTACAAGTTCTCTTTGTCTATTATATGTTTTGCCAAAAAAAATAGTATTAGTTTTTCAACGGCAATAACTAATATAAGGGATCAATTGACGATTTATCCATGTTAACTTATTTGTAGATCATATTTTGTTGAACATTTTTACTATCAAACAATGGTCTCTTTAACCATAGTTTTCTTTAAAAAAATGCAAAAAAGATAAAAGTCATCAATTTAAGGCAATAACTCAGGGGGCATTTGAAAATTTCCGTCAAGTTGACTTATTTGTAGATAATTATCATCGATCTTATAGTTCAGGTCATTTTTACTTTTCAAAAACTTCTCTCTATCTGTTAAATTTTTCAAGTAAAAATACCTTAAACTGCAAAATTTGGAAAAATTTCATATTTCAAGGGGAATAACTCCAAATTAGCGCTGATCTTTTTTACCCATGTCAAATTTGCTCTAACTTCTTTAGGTTTTAAGATATATGCCAAAAACTTGGAAATTTTCTAAAAATTGACATTTCAGAGGCAATTACTCCAAAATCGGTTGTCTGATTTGTCTGAAAATTCAGCAGAAAATACACCCTAACCTGTTACTAATCATTTTTCAGATGTGCCCTAACTGCTTCAGTTTTTTTTTTTTGCATTTTTTTCCTTATGTTCTACGTCAAACATAGACGGACGGACGACGGTCGCAAAGGGACGACAAAAGCGTACATGGCCTTTCAGGAGAAAAAAATACAGTATTACCAGCTTAGTTAAAAGGTTGTGTTTTGATTTCAGGGATTATAACAACATATGACGAAAGACAAGATCAACAGTAAGATCACAAATATTAAAGGAACCAACCATATCCAATACGGTCTGTTAATCAGTTTAAAACCAAAAACTTAACTTTATTTCAAATAGGTTTCGGTGTTCCTTTTTTGATAAAATAGTGGCGGCAATAAAGCAATACAACTGTATTTGTTCTCCCTAATTTGTTTTAATTTTTAAGTAACAACTGGTAGCTGTTCAACCATGATAATAAAACTAAAAGACATCACTTAATTCCGTCGCAAGCAACCTTTAAATGATGGCATCAGAATTAGGAAAAAGACATCATTCAGCACTATATAAAATACAAAATAAAAATAAAAAAAACAATTGATGTAGTTTGAAATAGTCACAAGTTAAAAGATGAACAAACAAACCCTATCAAATATTCATAGACTTTTATAGCCATCAAAATTCGTTCATTCATTCCCAGAAACACATACAAATTAAAGGTAACAGTCCAGTCTTATTACTGTGTCTCGACTGTCTCGACTGTAAGTGTTGCTCTCCACCTATTGCGATTAATTTAAAATTCTGACCAAATTGCAATTTGTTTTATCAAACCAAGCTGTTCAACTGGTCAGAAAAGTGCAAGGTAATAAAATAAAGCATACTTACAATCCTTATGGACTTTAATTCCACTTTATTGTTTATTTATGAAATTGTTTTTTTTAGAATTTCTATGCATTCTTTTATTGTAAATGTCATTCAAAAGGTGATAGATAGTAATTTTTGAATTGCTAAAAAAAATTCCAACTTTAAGTTTTTGAATTATTTCTTCTAAAATCGTGTTTTCTATACATGCTGCAAATCTTTCTTTAAATTAATCTCTAAAATACTTAATGGAATGGACTTAAAGCTTAAATATGTTCTCTTGAAGTTTTAAAGGGAGATAAGATCAATACTTCAAATGATCAATGATTTTTTTATTATCTCCCATGGAAACTTATTAACAATGTATAGTAATTTCACAAATATTTTACTGAATATAACATGGTTTAATTCAAACTGATTACTTATTCTTATGAATTAAGATTTTTTAAAAGAAAAATTGTAGGAAAGCTTAGTTTGGACATTTTTATAGCAATCTGAAAATTACTACCCATCACCTTTGGAATGACAATTACAATAAAAGAATGTATAAAATTTCATATAAACATTTTCATAATATCAATGAAGTGGAAGTAAAGTCTAATGTGATTGTACGTAAGTTTTACATTATCACCTTGCACTCTCACCAATTGACTGTGGTTTTCTACAGCTGTATGTTCAAATTTCAGTCTGGTTGGTTTGATAAAAAAAATTGCAATTTGGTCAGAATTTTGATTAAACTGCAATAGGTGGAGAGCAACACTTGCAGTCAAGTCACAGTAAGATTGTAATATTAATGAATACGAATTTCACCTGAGCCGTTCTCTTATGTCGTTTTTTACGAATTATGGTCATTGATTTCATTTCTCGATGGCATATTTTTTCGCATGTTTTCAACCTGCACTTGTTGTTCTCGAAGCTTGTCTCTGAGTTTACGGATTCTTTCACTTGTCTCACTTTCGGAAGCGGGTACATGAACGCCCACTTCGGGTACTAATACCTTCGTTTTACTAGACTGTCTTTTTGATTGAGCACTTTGTGTTTCGTCATCACTCTCCGTTTCACTGCCATCATCAGGAACTCCTTTGAAAGATGATGCTGCCTTTTCATAATCCTTGATATTATTCGGTTCATTCTTTATAGCAGGTATTGCTGGTTTAGAAACTGTACTAGCCGGTTCGGTCTTTATAGTTATTCCTGATGACGTAGATATACTGGTTCTAGCGTCTTTTAAAACAGAAGTAACCACCGGAGTCTGACCTTTTGTTGCCTGAGAAGTGTTTGTAATAATGTATGTTGGAAATGGCTGTCCACTGTTTGGGGCAGTACTTCTACCAAACGGATATAATATTGTCTGGCCTACTGGACCAACTGTTGTTACTTTGTTTGATAATAAAGGAGTCGTTACGGATCTTAAGATTTGATTCGGCAAAATCGTTGGTCTTGCAGATGACTCTAAGACATTGGCAAGAAGTGGCATTCTTTGTGTACCTTGTATAACCTGTGATGATGAAACGGAAGTCTGATTTTGAATCAACACTTTATTCATAACTGGCTGCGTTTGAACGTTTTTATCCTGTGCTGAAGTAATCAAAACAGAGTTCGAAGTTTGTATTGATCGTGGTTGAGAAATAATGTTGTCTTGTTTTGTTCCTGCGATATTCATCATAAAGGTTTTTGGAGTGTGAGATGCAGAAACTGTTTGTTTATTTAGAGCAATTGAAGAACCAGGTCGAGTTGCAGCAATGTCCATTACAAATGCTTTAGGTACAACACTTTCTCCGTTAGTAGGAATCAAAACTACTTTATCGCCTACAATAAGCTGAAAAAATTTCTTCGTATTTTCCATTTTTGCAAGTTCTCCTATTGCAGATGTTAATTTTGTATTAGTTGAGCTTGCCTGCTGCGTTGTCTTTGGTATCTGTAAAGCAGTCCCTAAAGACGGATTCGCTTTACTACATATTCCCTGTGTGTTCCCAGTGTTCTTGTCTGCAAACTGATTAGCAGTTTGTATTATATAAGACATCGTATCTGACGATACTGTCGAGTGTTTATTGTTTGGTAACATTGTCACATGAACTTTATTACTGTCATGATCAATGGTGCTATTTTGTTCCTCAAGTTTGTTATGCGATGTTGAGTTATCTGACTGCTTGTTATTCGGTAACGATTTATAAGGAGCTTTAAGAGATCCAGTAAGGAAGTCCTTTTCAAACTGTTGATTTGGTTTCCGCATTCGCCCTGTTAAACTACAAGGAATTCTGTTATCAGCTGATGGGCTGTGATCTTGACTGCTTCGTTCATTTCTAACGATTTGATAAAGCTTTGATGGTTTCTTCAGATTACTTTGGTCGTCAGATGTTTTAAGAATTAAAGAAGGGCTATCACTTGAAGCTGTTTCATAAGGCTTCAGTTGTGGTGGTAAACCATCCGGGCTACTAGGAGTTGACATAGATGAATGAATATTTGATATATGTCCGTCATATGGTTCTAAATGAGGCGGAGAGGGATCAGCCAAGGTAATTTTCTTTTTACTCTTAGGCTTTGGTTTGGATTTTCTACTCTTCTTAGAATTTTCTCTGTCAATTTGTTCTTGAGTTCGAAGCTTCTTTTTAGTTCGAGCGGTCTGTGGGCGGCTGCGTTTTTTCACTTCAGATTCAGATAAAGTATGAGAAATTTTCGATTTCCAATCTACTAGCACTGATGTGTCGTTTATATTAACTTTCAATGTTGGTGGCAAAATGCTAACCATCTTGATGTCCTCTTTACCGGATTTTTCTACTACATCTGGAATACATTTCTCGGCGACCGACATTACTAGGTCACGGTCGATCTGACAAGTAACTGCATCGTGCTTTACAGTCTTCTTAGATATTGACTTTTGGAACTCACGTATTTCTGTCGCCTTAAACAAATAATCGGAAGACATTAGAGAATTAGGTTTTCGTTTCCTAGATGGACGCCTATCTGCTTGATTTGTTCGATCTGAACTATTCTCTTCGGTATTTGTTGACTGTCGTCCATTTTCGACAGCAGGTTCTTGTTTTACGATAGCATTGTTACAAGCTTCCGTAAGTTTGTTCCGAATATCTTTCTCAATAAAGTTTTTTACTTGCACTGAACACTTTTTTACAGGAACAGGACTGCTGCTTAGAAAGTTTTTAAGATATATATCATCGTCATGTGATTCTGGTTGTGTTTGTGAGCAGCATATAGAACGTTTGTCTAGTGTGTTGGCATCGTCGTTCTCTAATATTTTTTCTGAGTCATCAGCTAAAGAGAAAACTGCACCAATAACGAAACCTGAAGACAAATCATCTGTTTCACTAATGCAAGCCATTCAGCTGAAACGGGAAACCATAAGGCAATTCATTACGTTGAATATAGGCATGTACATTATTATAAAGGAAATAAATATCCCATCACAATTTATTAGCACAATTCGTTATTTTCAAAATCATAGTTATGTTAAGAATATAATAGACTGTTTACACAGAGATATGTTTCGCCTTTTTGTAATTTTGATAATGCAAATGTTGAAATTAAAATAGCAATACTTTAACATGTAAGTTGTCCAAATATTCAAAGTCAATGAACCATGACTGACGGTATGTGGCTAAAAATCTCCATGGAAATAAGATGTGCCAATGCTAATACAACTGCATACCAAATACCATTGACTTATCATAAGTCGGTCCCTTTAAACAAACCTAAACACAAACAAACATTAACTTGTAAACTGTGTAAAAGTTTCAAAGTCAATGAACCATGATGAGGGGGTGGGGCTATATAACCTCCATGGAAACGAGACTTGCAAATGCATACTAAATATCATTGACTTAACATTAGCGGTTCATCTCAAACTGATCTAATCACAAACTAATACATGTAAACTAAGCAAAACTTTCAGTCAATAGACCATGATTGAGGGGGCGGGGCCAAATATTCTCCATGGAAATGAGATGTGCTACTGCTTATACAACTGCATACCAGTTAACATTGGCCCATCACTAATGGTTCCCCTCAAGATATGTTCATAATCTCAATACAAATTTCCAATGCAGTTTACAACCATAGTTACCCATTTAAATACATCATAAAAGTCATAAAATAGATAATGACATACATAATCATGGCTAAAATTAATATATTAAATATTCCTTAATCAGCATTTTTAAATAGTAACTTCTAAAAATAAATTGACAGCTAATCACCTCAAGACAATACAACATTTCTTTATACATAATTTAAAGGCAGTTTAAGGGAGGTAATCCAAACTTAACATTGTACTTTTTTTAAATTGTCCATTAACCAGGAAACCCTTGTTTTTCCCCTTTTGCCCCTAATTCCTAAACGGTTTGAGCCATAACCCCCTAAAGCCAATCCTAACCATCCCTTTGTGGTATGGAAAAGTGTGGTATAATTTCAGAGAGATCCATACACCGTTCCACAAGTTATTGTCTGGAAACTAGAAAAATGCTTATTTGGGCCCCTTTTTGGCCCCTAATTCCTAAACTGTTAGGACTACAACCCCCAAAATCAATCCCAACCTTCCTTTTGTGGTTATAAACCTTGTGTTTAAATTTCATAGATTTCTATTTACATTTACTAAAGTTATTGTCCGGAAACCAAACGTCTTCGGACGACGCTGACGACGACGACGCCGCCTCCGACGACGACGTGGTACCAATATACGACCGCAAAATTTTTGGCGGTCGTATAAAAACGAGCAATTTCAGCTTCCAATAAGGGATATTTTCTTCGCTCGAGAAATACTAATTTAAACCAAAGTAATAGAATTTCAGAAGTGCTGAAACATTTCGGGCTATTTTTTGTTGGGTTTTTTTGTGTGTTTTCAGAGACACTGGCTTTGTCATGGCAGCCCCTTTTTAATTGTGGAGGAGGCTGGAGTATCAGAAGAGAACCACCAACATTTAACATAAAAACTGTTTTCTTCCTTTTTTTTTTTCTCTCGTTTAACACTCAATCGAATATAACAATATCTTGCAACTATTGTTGCGTATTTGTTAAAATAAATTAATGTTATTATACAAATCTTATGTTGAAAATATTTTAATATACATTTAACAAATATTTTTTTTCGAATTCTTGATTAAACACACTTGTATTTCAGTGTTGTGGCTTGTTCGTACTAAGATCACAAGAGTAACATAGTAGAAAATTCACCTTAACGGGTAAGTTATGGGTAAAATTATGATCGAATGCAAGCTTCAATATCCTATTTAGTGCCAAAATACACACAATAAACCAAAGTTACGCTGTTATTTGTGTATGAATAAAACAACTATTCGAACGAAATAATGAATAAGTACGATCATTTATGCTTTGAATTAGCGTTTGTCTAATTAAATGTTCAATATCTAAAAGGATAAAGGGGAGTGTCAACGTTATGTATTTTGAGTGTACCCCAGATTTGGGGTGAAAGGGAATATATATACCAAACAATGCGGATGCAAACAACAGAAAGCTAAGACTTGTAATTGCAGAGAAAAAATACCAAAATGCCTTGTATATATATGCACCAATGTAAAGAATATATGTGTATTCGGCACAAAAAGGATTGGTGTGACGGATCTGAAAATCTATAGCTTTTAAATATGAAGATTGGTACCACATATCAAGAAATTGCTGGGGAAAAAGCGTCAGAAATGTGTTACGGACAGACGCACGGACGGACGGTCGGATAGAGGTAAACCAGTATACTCCCTTCTTCTTTTCTATTGGAGCGCGTGTATAAAAAATGGTAGAGACTTTAAAAGAGCAAAAGCAAAGTATCAATAACAAAAACAGTGCAGTGCAACGCCAAACTTACATTTTAGTTTGTTGCATATGCAAATTGTAAATAAGATACCAAAAACATCATGAACTTTGAAGGGCAATTCAACTTCCTTTGATTAGAACTCGGTACTGATTTTTCAACGATTTTGAATTATAACATGTAGCAGTAAATATTTTGATAAAGTAAGAAAAATAATATATATTCAGGCAACCAGTCTATTTCTTATGTTGTATCGTGTTCATCTTGAATCTGTTCGTAATCATTTAAGGTTCGATATAAATGTAAGGCAAAAAGCTAGTGCGTACAAGTGTTTCTTAAATAGCTTCATCAGGTACGATTGAGACAGTAAGTTAAAGAAGTCAAAACAATAAAATATATATTTCGATATAAATGTAAGACAAAAAGCCAGTGCGTACAATTGTTTCTTAAATAGCTTCAACAGGTACGCTTAAGACAGTAAGTTTAAGAAGCCAAAACAATAAAATGTTGCAAGCTTCTTAACCAAAAACGATATTAACAGAACAACCAATTCCCTCTAAGCTCAATTATACAGGGGAGTTATAATTTGTTTTAATGGTAAAATGTAAAACTATATGCATTCGTCAGTGCAATAAACTATATCTACGGCCATTTATGATTTAAATAAGTACATACAATCCTTTTTGCGGAATCAATATATCAACTCACAACGCCGTACACGAATAAAATAGGATACGAAAACCGCAAAGCATTAGAAACTGAAGGATTTAGGCGACGATCCGATTGTAGTGATTGATTGTTGACTGTTTAAACCGTTGATCTAATATTTAGGAGAAAGTCGTGTGTGAATCAACCTCTTAATCGGGAAACCTATTTGCAATAAGTGCCAAAAATACAAGTTTTTAATCAATGGTTTTGGTAATCTTTGGATTCGGACCTGAATTGTCTCACCCTGTCACACGTCAATTCGTTCCAAATGCACTGCGAAATTAAGTAAAAAGACAAACAATATTATTGTACATTGAGGCCGAACTTATAACTTCGTGAGTTACTGGCATTTAAATGAAATATTCAACGGTTTAATTCTACATCGAGTTTCGAAAGAATGCAAATCAACATGCAATAACATTATAATTCTGGAGACAAATAAGTTTGCCAGTAGGAACCGTAGCTTCAGTTATATTTCAGTAGTATAATGATTGAGTGTTGTTTGCTGAACGTCCAGCTTCAAATATATCACGCATATTTGGTAAGACACTACAGGTATGTAATGGAACTAAATTCCCCTTTTAAGTATAACTTGTTTTTCTGTTTAGATTTGTTAAGTTTTAAATGGTATTCTCTGGGCTTTTAAACTTTTATTCTGATATTTCTTTCAGTTTTCTTCAGCAACATCATATAAAGATATGATATCTATTTCTGTACACATGATACGTGATTTTAGATTAGTGTGCGCTCGAGACCAAATGTGTTGGTAAACATGGTAAACAAGATCAATACCGTGTCTACGTCACACGTTGCTATTTCAAAAAACAGCTATCAGCGACACAAATATTGGAAAACTTTTAATTGAAAGCTTTTCGACAATTTCCAATGTGCAATTCATATTTTACCAGTCACAATGAATACATATGGTAGTAAAGAAACAATTCGACTTATCTGTCAAAAATAGGATGTGCACAATATCAATTAGTGTTCAAAATAAAATAAAAAACGTTTCAGGAAATTGTTTGAGTAACGCTTGACACACACTACATATCATCTTTATAATAGTATTCAATGACAAAATTTACTTAGTTCCACACATGGGAAACCTGAGAAATAGTTAAAACCTGCCAAAAAAGGATGTGCATATCTTCAATATGTTTGCAATCCCTGTGGAAACCGTTGAATAATGTTGAAGGAAAATTGTTCCAGATACGCATGACACAAAAATGTACCCTATATATATGATGAATGGCTGTTTAATGTCCAGTGGCAAATTAAATGAATATTCAGGACGAGAACATGAAAATATGGTATATAAACTCTGATTTGTAGACCTTTGTAGACCGACACGCTGAGCTGGATTTTTAACGTGCTATTTTACAAGGTAACAGTCCGCGGGAAGACATGTCACCTTACCCGGACACTTTATTACGACTCCAAGTCGACCAATCTTTGCTCATACATCTTAATGCCGCGTGCTTAGAGGAGAAGCAGCCAATACCAATTTTCAAGTCTTTGGTTTGACCCGGTCGGGGCTCGAACCCACGACCTCTCCACTCGAGGCGAGCAGGCTACCCCGATACCACCGAGGCGGAGTCCCCATAATGACGACCTTTTCGAAATTTTAAGAACAGAAATAAAAGTAAATGTAAATGGCTAGAGTCATGCATGCTATTTAATCCTAATTTTAATTTCACAGAAATAAGAGATTGCCAAAAAATACTGTAATTCAGACCAAAGTCAGAAATATATATATACACACATTGTATAGAATGTGAGTTGGTACCCAGAGTATCTGTAAAATAAAATTTAAAAACCATTAAAATCTTTTTACAAAACCTAGCTTTACATAAGCAAAACAAAGAGCATTCAAATATAAGAGGGTATAGACGACATAGACACTGCTTATTAAAATTATTCCAATTTTCTACTATTTAGTTCTTTCCACATACAAAACTAGAGGCTCGCATAGGTCAATGTGCATCTTCAACAATGAACATCCTCCAACATTGTATTCTAGAACATGCTTCATGACTAAAATCTCTTGTTTTTTTTTATCTTGTATTGCTTATCATTGTTTTCTTTTTAAAGTTTCTTCAAAATTTTTGCTCAAAACACAAAATTGAGTTAATTTTTTCAGATTTTGTTTTGCTGATCATGTTTGTCTTTTAAAGATTCTATTTATGTATAACCGTTTTAAGATAATTGTCAAAACCGCTAGACAAAATGATTAAAATCATCATTAAAGGGCATACCACCTATAATGAGTTGATTTACTATTCCGGCCATGTTAGATCATGTCTTGGTGATCATATTTGCAATTTAAAAATCCTATCTGTCTATTATACTTTTTAACATAATAGAGACAACGCAAAACATTGTTAAAAATCGTCATTTAAGGACAGTTACTCCTGTAAGGAGTCAACTGACAATTTAAGCCATTAATTGTAGATCTTGTCTTAATAGTCGTTTTTGCTTCTAAAGGTTTTTTGTATCTTTAATGGTTTTCAATGTAATAGGTAAACTCAAATAGAAAAAATGGTAAAATTCGTCATTTAAGGACAATAACTCCTATAAGAAGTCGCCTGACAGTTTTAATTTAAACATACAGTAGGTAGATCTCAAAATTCTGAACATTTCTGCCCTAGTCAGATTTTTCTATACATAGTGGTTTTCAGAATAATAGACAAAATTGCATTTTACCCAATGTTCTATTTTTATCCATGTCAGCCATGTTGGTTGGCAGGCGGGATCATCGGACATACTTTTTAAACAAAATACCACAATGATCATTGAGGTTAAATTTGGTTCCAAATAACCCTGTAGTTTAAGTGGAGAAGATTTTTGTAAAAGTTAACGGACGACGACGACAGACAACGGACGCCAAGTGGTGGGAAAAGCTCACACTAGTTCTTTGGACCAGAGTAGCTAATATAAAAATAAACTAAAGGCTCTAAAAAACCTGTGTCGCTCACCTGCATCTTCAACAATGGCCGCTTTTTAGTAAAAATCATCATTAAAGGGGAAAAACTCTATCATGAGTTAACTGACAATTTCAGTCCAGTTGACATATTTGTCGATCTTATCTTGGTGATAGTTTTTCCTTTTAAAGTTTCTATTTGTCTATTATTGTTTTCAAGATAATAAGCCGTCTGTTCATATGCATCACTTTACTTTTTTCTTAGAATGTTTGTTTGCAAAGTGTTTATGTATTGAAAAATAAGGAGATATGATAGTATTGCCAATGAGACAACTATCCACCGAAGATCGAACAACTACATATTACCTCACGGCTTTCAACAATGACCAACTCTCATACCGTATAATAAGGTATAAAAGGCCTTTCAAGTTTAGTGCATGTTATTCATTCAGACTTTGATACATAATAAATTGTTTGTAACGAGTAAAGAAGATGTTACACTTAGACAATCAAAAACCATAGTTGGAAAAATGACGGACATCACGGCCAAAAGAAAAACTTAAGTTTAAAAAATATGGCACAGATAAAGTTTAAGCAAGAAGGATCCAACCAAATAACAGGGTAGCTGATTCCATAGGCGGATCCAGGGGGGCCCTGGGGGGTCCGGCCCCCCCTTTCGTGGGAAAAATTTGGTTGATTATATAGGGAATCACTAAAGCATGACTGGAGCGGGCCCCCCTTAGGTCAGTCAGCGCCACCCCCCCCCCCCCCCCCCCTTTATGAAAATTTCTGGATCCGCCACTGATCAGGTGCTCATGCAAGGTCAACAATTCCTGTTCCACTAGATTAATGCATTGGTTGCTGCTGTTTTTAAACGTCCTGTTGAAAATATGCTATACTTATTTAGGATGAGAACAAATGTATAGCTAATCCAAAATGCAGGTTCTGCAAAGAAGGTCAACAGAAAGGAAGTACGAGAATTTCGACGACCCTTCGAATGTCACTGGAAAATATGAGTATATGTTAGATGTGGAGAAAATTTTGCCGTGCAACAGGTCGCCTATGGAGCCCTCGGGGAGTTGATGCTCTGTTGCACTAGAACCGTCACGTTACTCTTGATAGGATAAATGCCCAAATTAGCGGATTGGTACATGTATCTTGTCTTACCATAAGCTTAATACATGATCGAATGTGAAAATTTGAAATGAAAAAAGTTTTCTCAGGAAAAAAATTAATGATTCAGCACAAACACTGATAAAATAAAAACGCACCAAATATATACATTTAACTATATTACATTAAAGTTGCATACGTTTCCGGAATTTTGATTGTATATTGCATTATAGTTTTTATTTCAGTATAAAATGCATTATATATCACTTCACGTGCTAGAACGTCGTCTGTGACAACGTTAAAACAATACATATCAGAACTAACGAAGCCCTATACGAGTCTATTGGTGGCAATAAATTCTTTCTGAAAAATACGTTTACTCTAGTTCATACACTTTATATTTATTCCATCATAAAGGTAAAGGCTTCGCATCTGAGTGAAAGTCACATTGTACCAAAGTCGAAATATTATCGGACTGCTATCACATACTGCCCATGGATCTGTTTTTCACCAAGTCCTACTTTCGATCCTCCCCTACTTCCATTTTCAGAAATTGAATTTCAATAATAACTCATAGGGAACAGGAAATGAATATGCATAAAAAATACAGTTTGTGTCATGCCTTCCTACCTACCCTAAGATTTCATGTCTAACCTTACACATTTATGGACATTCAGCACCGTTAAAGTTCTGATATTCTTTTATCCAGAACATGTTCCTATATCAATATATAGTGTTTTTAAAATAAAATTTCTTAAATAAAATCATTTCACCTTCATACCCTTTTTTTCCAGACATGAGACATGAAATAAGCATGTATGTTTTTTGCGTATTACCCTTTTTGAAACGTGTCATCGGTAATATTGTTTACTTTGTTACGAAACTTAACTGTAAACCGTCGTTGTCATTGCTTGCGTTTTTTTTTTATCATTACTATTATTGTTTGGCAATGGTGTTGTCTGTCACTATTTAATGAATACTTCGTAGCCTCAAACATCTTTTGAATATACATGTAGATTCTTACCCTTTCTAACTGAATTATAAATATAAATGTGATATTCAGCCGTGTTGTTTTTTTACATATAACAACTCTCTGTCTTTGATACTTTAAAGGATGCTTGGTATTCAGTTTTGATAAAACCTGTAAAATAAAAAAAATACTGGACATGAGTTCACAATAAGGCCAGTTACGTCAAGCAACCCCGGCGTATAAAATATAAAAATAGATTTTTAATTATAGATGAAACAAAATCAGAGTTTCATGGAACTTTGCAAAAGTATATGTGTGTACTGTAGCGATAAAGTATTTTTAGCAATTCGTTCCATTATAGTCAAAATATGTCAAATGCTATTCGATTTTGAAACAATGCGTTTCTTACATAATGATAATATCGCAAATCAATCAAATCATTTTTATTACATTCTGAAAATGCAACATTTTTTCATCACTGTTCCGAAAGCTTAATGAGAACATACGTATGGCTTAACTGTAGTTCTAGTTTATGAGCTGATTTTAATGGGCATCAGTCAAAATTCATCGCCTTCTAAAATAGGTACCTTAAGTTCTAAAATTTGTAATCACTGAAAACAATAAGACTTGCACAATTTCTACAAAATAAAGCATACACCTGACTTGCAAAATCCACAAAAGCATTTATAAACACGAATTCACTAGTATCTTACATGTACGACACTGTGTATCTTATAAAAATGTATTATAATTATCTTGAGTCTCGTTTCACGATAGACTTACAGTCACAGATCCGATGCTCAATTTTTAGAAAATTCGGTATACATACTTTTAGCCTGTAGTATAAATTCGTTGTTACAGTTACAAGACTGGGTTTGTGGGCCTGTATAGCCAAGCGAGAAGACTTAATAAAATATCCATATGAATTACAATTTTCTACATGTGCATACCAACACAAAAAAAAAAAAACATAAGCAGACAGCATAAACATATTCTCCATAGTGAATATACGTTTTGTCTTATTTAATTTTAGGGATGGACAACGTCACTTTCAAATAAACAATGGACGGACTTAACATTCTCTGGACAATTATTTTAATGTTAGAAAAAATATTTACATCTGTATCAATACACATCTCATAAAAGGTTCTCATAAACGTGAAATAATGAAAAAGAAGGGATGTGGTGTATAATTTCATGATGAAGATTTCTGTTCTGCTCTTGATTTGTGTGACAAAATGAAACGTCACCGTCTTTTATCTATATTTCTATTCTTTTATAATCAACATGAATTTAAGTCAGAATTAGTATTAAGGAACAATAGAAAGTAATATAATTTACACGGAAAGTTTGCTCTAACAACTATATAAAAATAATATCTGGTGGTGATTACAAAACACGAAATACTTGAATTAACTGTTTCCTTTTATTGAAACAAAAAAGTTTTAAGTGTTTATGGGATAAGTAGTTCATTTAATTTATCTGTTTATCATTAAGTTCTCATTTTTATTTATTCAGTGACAAAAAAGTATTCGTTTTTCTTTAAAAGTAAAAAAAATATATAACGTTTTTCTACCTGCAGATTTGTTCAGAAGATGATAAGTAACAATTCAGGATTTTATTTTCTTGTTATATTGTTTTTGTTTCATCTTATGTATCATACTTTAATGTTTACCAACAACATATATATATACATTTTAAAAATACATTTATTACTTTAGACGGGCATAAAATTAACACTATGAAATCGTTATCATACATTGATATATAAAATAATACGTATTTCATTATTACTATTATAACTTGTTTACGCTTTAATAAAAGAAGAAAATATGACTTTCATATCTACCTGTAGACATTGGTATAAGTATTTCAACAGAGGTCTCGTAACCTCCAAATATCGTGTAACAGTGTGAAATCATTTTCAATAACAACTTGGACATAGAGCCGGAAAGATTTACTAATTTACACCGTTTTGTTTTCTTTTTTTAACATAACCATGCTATAAATAATTTGCTAATAAAAACAATAATTTATAACTAACAAATACAATGCTGCTAGTACCTTTTTGAAAAAAGTATTTGTTTATTTTTTTAAACAATGGATTTCTTCAAACAATAAATCATATTCAACATTAAGTAAATACGAACAAGCCACAATATTGCCGATCGTCTTAATCGTCAGAAGTTTAGTGACCTTACTAGAACAAAATGGCGGACTTTTGTTTACACTTACCTGAACACGTTTAGCACACTATATGTTCACAAATTTAATACTAGGTGTCGGGACATAACATTAAAACATGACAATAAAAATTTATTGGATATGAAAATACAAATAATAAATATATATTATAAATATATATTAAGTTAATATGATGACAATGAATTTGGTAAGACATAATTTTAAAGGAAATATTTAATAAAAAAAAAAAAAGACCCGCTGAGATTAGAAAAATTCTTCAATCATTCTTTAACAGACGACTTGCTTTTTTCACGCTGTCATTTACAAAATGTAAATACTTTACGTTGTGATAGTCTCCTCGTTTCGTGTTCGTCCACCACAATATAGATATACAGTAGTACTGTTCTATCAGATTCGTACTCTTTCAGTCATTTTATCAAAACAATTTTCAAAATGGCGGATTTGTAGTTTCCGGTATTATCCCCGGAAGCCCTGTTATTGCCTGTATCATCTTTTTGTTACGTAAATAATTCATACCTGCTCATACCTACTCAGTTTTTATCTTTATTAAGCAAAAGTAATGTTTTCTTTAGTAATAAAATAAATACATCTGAATTTTTGTCAATTTTAACTAAACTGCTACAATTGATAGTTCGTACACTGTATGAATTAATTAATGATGTAGACATTACAAGTATATAATTCTAAAACGAGTACTCATGAAATGAATAACACTTATGAAAAAAGAAACACAACAACAATAAAGCCAAAAAACGATGATTCCATATTTTACAATTTTGTTTGCGTGTGTTCTGGACTCCTTAACTGTTTGGATACATAGAAGGATTTTTTTCGCAGCATAGTAGTATCTTCCCCTGTGCGTTTGCAGCATACAGAGTTCGAGGGGGATAAATAAAACACCACCGTGAACCGTAAACTCAAATAAAATGCTTTCTTTTTCTCCCAATTCTCTTATAATTATTTATTAATTGATCCTGCTAATGTATTTTTGAAATAAGAATATGTTATGATTAAACGACGAATGGATGAACAACAGCACGGTCTTCAAAACATTTCACAGAAAATCTAATTATGCAACAAGAATCTCACTATAAGGACCGTGAGTGAACTCACATATTTCGGAAGGGTAGGCGGTTCTTCCTGTTTAACAAATGGCACACTGGAGTCGTGCTAGCTACTGCAAGTCAAAAACATTTCGTGACAGGTAATATCGCGATTTCACAAACAAGGAAATGTGGACGAGATTGTGGCCGCATCAAACGACTTGCTATATTTGTAAAGCTTTAATTTATGCATTAATAACTGGTATACAAATATGATAATAAACCCATTCTGAGGGTCTGGATGGGGTTTACAGAATACAGAATAATGGGCAAAATGTGCAGAATAAAGGGGTAAACAAATTTAGAATAGAGAAAAATAAGCAAAAAAAAATAAAGAATAGAGAATAATGGGGTGCTGAAATATAAAGAATAGAGAATAACAGGCAAAAATTATAAAGAATAGAGAAAAATTGCATAAAAAAAATTAAAAATACAGAAATGAAGGACCCCATCCACATCCTCTATTATGTGTGATTATCGAAATCATCAACGTGAACTTTTAAATAAATGAAATTAATCGTCATTGACTTTGTTGAGTGTTCAATTTCTTGTACTTGATTAATGGCACACTTTGTTACGTGCTGCTGTTCTTATAAAGGAGAAAGGCACACACCTAATTTGTCAATTGTCACTTTCTTTTCTTTCTTTATTTGTATTTCATGCCCCGACTACGATAGTAAAGGGACATCATGTTATTCTATCTGTCCGTCCGTACTTTTGTTCGTCTGTTCGTCCGCCATGCCCAGATCAGGTTAATGTGTTGGTGTGAGGTAAGTTTACCACATCAATTTGAAGCTAAGTACACAAGTCATGTTCAGTATGGTGTGAACTTAAAAAAAACAAAGGTTTTGACACAGAGTTTGTGGTTCACTAAACATTGAAACTTTATCGTGCGAGCGGGACATGGTGTCCTATGGACACATAATTCTTGTTTTTATTTTTTATTTGCACTGCATGTTTAGCGATTTTGATTTCGAAAACAAGTATACAACAAGTAAATGAAAATCAACAGGAATCTAGAGCGAACGTAAAGATGAAAAGAAATCCATAAAAATGAGATAGGAATGATCACACGAAAACCATTGAAGAGCGTCTTACCGTTCTCGTTTCAAAGTTTTGTTTGAGTTGTATGTTTCTCGAACGTTTACTTCTGTCTTCAGACTTCCTGAAATAACTGGAAAGGTTGTTGAAATTGTATAAGCTGTGACACGAAAAGGTCTTGTGCAGTAATGAGAATACTGAAGAAAGGGTAGAGGTATGACCAATCCCTTGTATTTATTTCACTGGCATGGATATTAAAAAAAGACGTGTTTGAGCTTTTACTTAAACAATATCACAGTTTCGTGTGTGTTCTTTAACGTACACCAACAGTATACGCCACATTACGTTCTGACCATTTCATCAAACAAATTTAAAAGTCTGAAACTAACGATTTGTAACTTAAACAGCTGTTTAATCAATTGGTCAAATGTTTTCTAAAAATATCTCTGTTTCCTAATTAAACAATTTACACGGGCTTGAAACAATTCCTATCTATTAAAAAAACTCCTCCAAACGAGAAATTGGTAGCATCAGTAAAAAGTAAATAACAAAAATACCGAACTCCAAGGAAAATTCAAAACGGAAAGTCCCTTATCAAGTGGCAAAATCAAAAGCTCAAACACATCAAACGAATGGAAAACAACTGTCATAAACCTGACTTGGTACAGGCATTTCAAATACTTACGACTGGCTCAAAACTGAGTAATATTCTTAGATTTTTGCAATTTTATCTAACAACAAATAGGAATTAAAGACGTTTCTAATCAAAACAAAACTTCTATGTGGAAATTGCCTACCTTTTGAACTCAATTATAAGGCATAAATAAAGCGGTTTGCTCTTTCTGGTATTACCTGCATTCCAAATATTTTTGGAAGATAGTAAAAAGTAAAATAACAAAAATACCGAAAATTAAAAACGGAAAGTCCTTTATCAAATGGCAAAATAAAAAGCTCAAACACACCAAACGAATGGAAAACAACTGCCATATTCCAGACTTGATACAGACATTTCCTTATGTAGAAAATGGTGCATTATACCTAGTTTTATAGCTAGCTAAACCTCTCACCTGTATGACAGTCGCATAGAATATTGGCTTTACCTTCCCGTACTAAATGGGAAAGAAATTTAAATATGCAAATTAAAGATTGGAATACTATTTACCCTTAGGTTATGCCTTTTATAACAACCAGAAATTCGTTTTTACAAAACTTCCATTTTAAGATTGTTCATATATAGGATTCTACTAAGTAATTAATTTTTATTTAATGCAAATTAAAAGAAATTGAACTATGTTCTATTTGTTTAGAAATCAGAGAAAACTTAGTTCACACTTCTTGGGAATGTAATGTTATAAACAATTTTTGGCTATCCATGATAGACTGGATGAGAAATCTTTACATTTTCTTGCCTTTTAGCGCCAAAGAAGTTGTTTTTGGTGTGTCTGAGGTTTTTGTTAATAGTAAAACAGCAAATAATATTGTGTCGCTGTTTAAATACTATATATACAAATGTAGATGTAAGAACCTATTGCCCATAAAATATGATGGGATAGAATATCTAAAATATTGAAAAAGTGAAGAAAAATACTCTGAATGTTTCTTAACCCCTGCGCAAAAAGTTAAAAATTAATCAGATGTGTCAATTGTTAGAAGCAACCTTTAAGTAACCAAATCAATTGTAATATCTTTTCTTATAGCCTTATAACTTGATTACGTTTACAAGTGATTCGTTATTTTTATACATTGGGCATTTAACTATATATTATGTTATTTCGCATGTTTCATTTTGAAATATAAAGAAATTACCAACAACTTATGTGCTTTGGAGTTTCAACAGTTTTTACCCCACAAGTGTCACCCATCATCCATGCTTATATGACAACAAAACATAAATAGTTTACTGCAAGTGATCACCTTATTTCAACATGAATCAATGACAAAAAGGTGTAAATTTATAAATCAAAGTTTTTGAATAACATCCCCTCCCCCTACATAAAATAAAAATTATATTTTATCTGATTTATCTTTAATCCAGTCCGCTTTTCGAATTGTCTGTTTCAATTTTGTTTATTAAATTGAATTTAACTGACAAAAAGGTGTTCTGAATTTTAAATTAGCGTTTGTGCATGCATTGATCTATTCCAAAATTAGATATTCAATATATCTACTCAGTAGCTGTTGGAGGACGACCATTTGATATTGCATATCCTGGACTGGTAACAAATGAAAATTTATATTTTACCCCCAAAAATGCATGATATAAATGTGTACAAAAGTGACAAAAACGCCAAAAAAAATAGCGATACTCGCAAAAGGTGAAAATTAATATACCGCCTGAAAAAATCCTCCTGCATCCGCCTTCCCCTTCACCCAGAAAATTAAATGGTTGTCCTTTTAAGAAAGCTTAGATATTATGCCATTTTCAACATTAAAAATATCTTAATTGGTACAAATATACATGTACACCATCAATGCTCCTGAAGGGTAAACATATTCTGCTCCAGATCTGCTCCACATGTGGCATCCGTCGTGTTGCTCATGTAAATCTCAGACACAAATCCTGAACCATTTAAAATAATATTAGCGGTTTTCGTCTGAGTAACAACATTTGAAGAAATAACTGCCAACTGCAGGTTTGGATTTGTATTAGTATACCTAATAACATGTACAATGCAATGATAAATATTGAAAAATCTCCTGTCAGTTCTGGTGGTTCATTTTAAATCAAGTAGCGACCAAACCGATTCTTGTAATGTATCTTCCAAACCTTGATGCTTAAAGTGACGGGAAAAGGTTTCAAAATGAAATTTTCAGAAAGAAAGTCGAACCAGAAACAGAGCAAAAAAATAAAGTGTTTATATCTGATGAAAAAGCATGTTACATTTGCAGAGTAAAAAGTAAATTTCAATGGGCAACCAAGCGGCAACAACCAAACAAGCATTTGTATGTCGCTGCATAGCCTTCTGGTTCGAGTTTTTATAACAATACCAAACATTCCACATCAATTATTTCACATTCTTAGCTTAGCATCGGAGTCGCTGTACAAACGAATGATAATAAGGGAGCAACCACTTGATTCTCAGGGGAAGGGGGGGGGGGAGAGGAGGGGGGAATTAAAAAAAAATTGTTTTGAATATCAGATTACCAAAATAAATTGTGAATATCAAACGGGTAAAAAAAATTGTTACCTGACAGTGCTCAGATGTGCTGAAGAAATAAAAGACGACACCGATCACTAGCCTATAGGTACAGAATGAAAGATACAGTTAATTACATGCACATTTCGACGATTCGTGTTTCCTATGTATTATAATGCTTGAAGCCAAATGATTGGAAATCCAAAGAAGTCAAGTTTTAGAGCAGATAACAAAGCAAATGTCAGAAACATTAAAGCCAGTCTAATTGGAGACAGACAATATCAATATAAAAATAAGGAGATGTGGTATGATTGCCAATGAGACAACTATCCACCAGAGTTTAAATGAAGTGGATGTAAGCATTTATAGGCAACCGTACGGACTTCAACCATGAGAAAACCCATACCGTATAGTCGATTATAAAAGGCCCCGACATGAAAAATGTTTAACAATTTAAACGAGAAAACCATCGGCATAATTTATAACAAACAATTTACGAAAAACAAATATGACAGACATGAACCAACGACAACCACTTAACTACATGCTCCTGACTTGGGACAGGCACATAAAGAATGTGGCGGGGTTAAACATATTTGTGAGCGGTCAACCCTCCCTTTAACCTGGAACATTAGTTAACAGCACAACAGAAGAACAAACTCAAAAGATCAGTTCAAGGTACAAAAACAACTGGTACAAGGCACAAAAACAACTAACATAAAAACAATAGAAACAAAACACCGAAATAAGAGTATCAGCAGTTACTGAAATCTAGTTCAAAGCAAATTACAACTAATAAGTAAATCATGTTCTCCTAGACCAACTAAGAATGTTCGAGTGAAAGGCTGGGAGGGGATATAAACTTCATAAACACTGCTATACGAGGATGTGCCAAACATTTGTATATACTTTTCAGGGAAAATGAAGAAAAAACAATAGATTTTTTTGCAATTGTAAATATTAGAATATATTTATATTAGAGCAACATTATGCGTTTGTTATTGATGTGTATTGTTGAACCTTTTAGTTTTAATTATATTTATGCCCTTCGATTTGATTGCTTTTATTGTGTTTGCGACTATCAGGAGCTGACTGCCTGTTGGTGGGTAGTTCCTGCTCAGTTGAAGACCATGTGGTAAGCACTGGAAGTCTTTTTGTGCATTGCATTTGTGTGATTTGGTGATTTCTTCATACCATTGCCCTACATCCGTTCTTTTTCATATATCCAGTTTTATATGTATAACATCATCATTACTTTATATAGACACCTAGTCAACCAGATCTATCAAAAAACGACAGACAAATGTTAGCAAAAGCTCTCCTGGTCTTTTAAATAGCCAGGCGCGAATATAAATTGACTTGGCTTGGTATATAAATGTACATGTATCAAATAAAGTGTAAAAAAAAGATTTTTAATGTATGCTGAAAAAAATAATTGTGTGTGCGTGATTGGCCATGAATTAAAAAAAAAAGCTTTCTTTTTTGGGTAAAAAAATGATTGACTTGAAGTCACTGTGCTTGGGGTACAAATCTCTGCTCCCCCAGAGAATCAAATAGTTGGCATCTGTGCTCTCAAAACACAACATTTCATTAATCCTTTACTGTAGAAATATCCTCCCTGTATAAAGCGATATCGATATATGACATCCTAATTTTACCCGTGTCAACACTTATCATAGGAAGCGTAATGAGAAGATTTGCCTTACAAATAATAGTATGCTCAAACGAAAATTAAAATGACTAATTGTCAAACATGTCACATGAGTTACCTGTACTTCAAATATATCCTGAAGATTAAATGACCCCTTTTATATAATGTTTACCAATATTGTTTTGAATTTAAGTAGAAGTTAGTTCAGAGTCTTTTTACAACTTGAAGAACAATGCCACAGCAGAGATAGGAAACAACAAAATGGCGGACAATTATTTATATTACATTATCTCCCCTGAAAACTAGGGTGTAAATATGTGGTACTTTTGTTAAGATTAAACTACTTTAAAATCTCTATTAACTGCAAATCTATTTATGATAATGTGATTATCCATCTTATATTATAATTATCATACGTTATCCGCCTGGAATAATATTTTACATTTTAAGAAAAGTCATAATTATATCAGACAAAATTGTATGGTCCATTTTCGAGAACTTTCGTTTTCAGATCTATTTAAAGTGACAAACAGTTGACATACTTCATAAGCACAACAGGGATAATATAGACAGGCGTGAAAAGCGAGTTTGCAAAGATTTCAGTTGGTTGCAATTTATCAATTAAATAGTTGTTTATTATAACAGAAAATTGGATGAAAGTTATTACTTCCGGTTTGCCTTCAGCTTCGAAACTTCGAAAACTATAATACTCATACAAAGATATTTAATAATTGTAATACAGCGTTAAAAGTCGGAGATTAATTGATAGTTTGTTTACTTCGTAAAATTTCTTGTTGTAATCATAAACGGAAAATAAGTACATTTGTCGATTCATACAAAGAGCGCAATCGCTACAAAACTGCAGTTAATGCGGTGAATGATGTCAGAACACTTTTTCAACGCTTTTTGCATAGCTGTCATCATAGTTTTTGGATTCTGTTTATGACACCTCCTTTACACATTTGAAGTTTAGGAGTTAAATTGAGAGGTTACTGCTTCTAAATATATCATTTAATACTGAATTAATGTCCAGTCTTTTTTTTTTGGTTCCTGAAAAAGTACTTTAAAATCCCTTAAATTTGCCCAGAAGCAAATTTTCAATAAAATCGGACATATATGATCATAGAGTCGATACGTCAGGTTTTTCTGCATACAGTATCTGAAAGTCAATTTATAAATGCACCTAATAATTAAATTGATAATTTTCATCTTTGTTTAATATACTAGTATTCATGATAATTATTATTATAGAATTGTTATTTCTTTGCCATATTATGTTTGTTTTTGTTTTTGTCACAAACTAAATATGTTTGTATGACAAGAAAGATATTATTAAAAAAACATATTACTAAGTATACCCACTTCAAGCCTCTTTAACTTTATACATAAAGCTTACATCTTACACAAACAGTCACATCCCACTGGCCACATCATTAGGAGCGATCGTGCATCTTTAATCTATTTTCGTTTCTCTTATGTCTTTCAGAAACGAAAGCTTTTCTCTTTAGATATTGCACACTGGTGGGAGGGGGTCTACAAATTCGAGTAGACCCATAACAGCGGCATGCATATACCTTAATATGGGAAGAGACCTCCAGACCTCCCCCCTCCAAAAAAAAAAAAAAAAACTCCCGGTCCCCCTTATTTTTCCTTCAGAGACCAGTGCATGTGGTGATATTGCACTGACATTGAACATGCTGAAACGGTTTCTCCTTCTCCAAGACAATCTCAAATAAAAAAAAAACAACACAGCAGATTGTGGCTAATAAAAAATAAGAATGAAATGCAAAAAATAACTTTTGCATTATTAGTATTGAACTCATTTATTTATCTAAAACTGTGCATCTGAGAGAATTAGTATATATATGGTTTACTATTCTATCTATAGATTCCCCGGACGCCATTGACATTGTCAGCTGTTCTGTTATTGAACAGTTGAAGACACAAGCATTACCTAGATTACGTTTAAGCCAATATGGTTAATTATTTGATTATGCATAAATGAAATATTCCTCTTCAAAATCTTAGCAAATACTATTTGACAGTCTGTTCCATAGTTCTCAGTAGATCTCTCAAAGGAACGGGATGTAATAAATATACCCGCAAACACCTCATACATGGGTTGTCTGTAACTTTTATCTGTTTATTTGACTGTATGACTATGCCAAATATCCATTTTTTCACATAAACATGACTTTCAAATACAAAATTTAAATTAAGTAATTGTGTATCATAAATATATGTAAATATATATATGTGTATGTGATGACCGTACCTTTTAAGTTGTGATTAAATGCGGGAGCGATAAGAATATATACAATATGGATACAATGGACAAGCGTTGGTTCGTTAAAAAGAAACCATGAACCCGGAGGGTGAATGGTATCTTTTTAACGATCTAACGCTTATCCATTGTGTCTATTATTGAAAATATTTAAAACTTTTAACAAGAAGTCTTTTCAAAATTACAGTTCTTTTATTAATTAGGCCCTATTATCAGCGAGTTCAAATAACAACCTAATTATCTTAAACGATTCACTATAACAAAACCTTAGTATATAGGTAGTGAATACAATCATGAAAAAATATTAAGACAAAATCATTTTACTTTCAGTATACCGTTGTGTAGAGCAGCACTTCAAATCAAAATAGTAAAGAAACCAAATCATCATACGCAAAACCAAAATGGCCGTCTCTTCTCAACCTTACGACAACAACAACATTCTTATGCTCACCAAACGCCTTAGGACACAGAACCGACCGTGTGAGGACTTAATAGGCAGTCAAGGTCGTTACAAACCACCCTAGTAGTGAACCGAATTGTAAAAGCATTTTCACCTAATTTAGTCTTAAACTTGCTTTTTGATCAGGCCAGTCATTAGACAAATACATAATGAAGTTTATGATAATTTTGTCTTACATGTTCATGATTATGCATTGTTTGCATAACTATCATCAACTGTGGACTTTTTGGGTAACAATAGAAATGAAATGAAGCAAATTTGATTATAAATATTTATAAATGGTCTTTCAAAAATATCTATATGTAACTGTAAGAACATTACATAGAATACTGGACTGAGAAGTTATGACAAGGGCTCTTTTTGCCTCATGAAAATTACAAAAAAAAAATCATTCAGATGTTTACAAGGCATTATAGTTTGTCCAATATCAGTAATTTTTTTTAAATGCCTCATGTATTTGCTTAGGCTTCTATCTGCAAGTTCTTTCATTTGATAAAAACTGCGAAAAAACTGCAAAACATGACATGTCGATTAAATATGAATAAACTCATCAAATATCTAGCAAAAAGTTGGGATCTATACTGTTAAACCATATATGTTCTTATTTGCCACGACAAAATGAATAGAATGATATATTTGAGTGAATCATCAGGTGTAATATCTTGCAAATAGTTGAATTAATTGAATGATATATAGGATAAGTCATCATGGTCATCACCACCCTTGCATTTGAGAATGGTTGAGATCACACCCCTTAACCATATCTTTTTTTGTCTGTTATATTTGGGGGAATTGAATGATATATAGGGTAATTCCCTATGAGTCCTCCCAATCTCTTTAATTCAAGATGATGTGTCTGTTCTATCTATGGTCTTTGTTGATATTCTTATCTAATTTGTTTATGTTTTATACTGCATAAGAAATTTCAAGCAAGCTGAATTATTGCAGTCTCGTTTTGAGGTATATATAAGCAACAGTAGTTTACCGATGTTCAAAAGCTGAATAAAAGGTAAAACATCATCAAAAATATACACATGTTTACCATACCTAGATATTAAATGTATTCATGTTCAACAAACAGAAGAAACGAACCCAGCAATATGTAGATGCAAAAAAAAAAAATAACGTCATATAAATAGACTTTATCGTATGCTGTCTGTAATTTTTTTTTATCAAATACAGAAATGCATTGGCATCCCACTCCACCACATTTATTTATTAAGCATTTGAATTGGTTTAAATTAAAATATATTCCATAATAGGCTATTCCTTCCACCAATCTCATAAATAGATTAAGAAAACAAATCAAGGATACAAACAAAAATTATGGGAATCACTTGAACTCTAAAAAGAGCGAGACTGGTTAAGTTGATAAGGAAGCATGCTAATTGCATCATGCGATATGTAACTGCTAAAATTCATTTTATTTTGTTTAGATCTCGGACCATTAAACACTACCAGCAAAAGGACAAAAAACAACAACGAAAACTCAATTTTGGCACGTTTAACATAAACACACATTATAAGCATAGTGTTTAATATCTCTATTTGTAATTAAAGTTGAACAAAATGTTATGATATATCAATACATGACACAAATTAAATTACTACGCCCACACGAAAACACGGAAAGCAAAAATGAACAGCGTTTTTTATTGCTATACAAAACCTCACAACGGCTATTTTCAGGGCCAGGTTGATCAGCTGCGCAGCCTGCTAATCACGTCTATGTTTTACTGGTGCATGAATCTTAGACACAGTTCTAGATGTCTGCTGGAAGCCTGTTCAGGTCGGCCTGCAACAGATATCGGTCAGTTCTGTTACAAGCGAATAATCCTTTACTGAACACCTCGAATACAGGACCCTCGGACGTCTGGACGACAAAACACTCCCCCGTCAACAATAGGTTTTGGAGTGCATGCTGACGCGGACCATTTTTTGTTGTACTGTACGGCGTTGAATTAGATCGCTGTAGACATGGAGTAGTATGTCGTTGAACCATACGGTCAGCGTAACATGTTGTAGTTCGTGAGTAATGAGACTTGACTGTATCTTAAAATGTAAACCATCTTTTTTTTCTTTTTTTTCCAGAGAATGTATCACAAAATATAGAAAAGAGAACCATTTTATGGCTCCCGCATTTGTAGATGCCGACGGTGTCAAATCAACAATCATCATGCACAGAGAGTGGTTGGTTCACGAAAAAACGGATATCAGTAAAAAAAAACTCGATCATTAAAAGATCTCATGTAGTATATCATACAGTGCGAAATATCACTACTTTTTTATCAATATATCGAAAGAAGAAAATTATGTAGAAGGCGTCCTACAGCATATCAAAAAGGAAATTGAATACCAGTCGGACGATTCAACGTGATCATACAATAAATCAAAGCTTTGAAAATGTGATGAAAAAAGGCGAATTAAGTTAGACAAAAACTACTGCCATAGGTCTGTCTGTTGTAACGATAGCTTTTTAAATGTTGTCGAATACTACAGATACGACAAGCATTGCAGT